GTTGCCATTAGCTGCCCAGTTGTATTTTCCTGAATCTCATCGATAGCCTGAAATCTCTTCCCTTGCAAAGGTGGTTTTAGTTTGGGGAAAAGCCGGAAGTCGCAGAGCGTCAAATCTGGGTTGTAGGGCTGTGTCACCTGGCTGATTTGATGCTTCACCATCCAGCCCAGCTCATCCCTAAGCTGCGTATAGCCTGGTGAGCGAACCAGGTGAAAGCAGCAGTAAATTCTTCACGGAATTGTGAAAAATAATAAATTATTATTTTAAGCCACTCGGTTTTGGGTTGGTTTGTTATGTGGACACATAACTTAATCCCCAAAGAAGGCTGAATTTCACCAAAAAAGAAAGAAGGAAGAATTTATGAAATCATGAACCTCCTAAGAACCGCTGAACCTTCCTTTACTTTCTGATATATGTACTTTGACCAGCTATTTAGATGACAAGGGACATCTGATTATGCATACTTTGGTATTTAAAAGTGAATAAATATTTAATTCAGCATTCTTTGTAGGGTAAAATTCCAGCAACTTTCCCCCTGCCAAATGGGGAACAGGTGCTTTGGGGCTCCTTTTGTAGTAACTAAACAAACAGATGAGTGTTGAAGAGTCTCTGCTATATCCTATTGGTTGGAAATAAGTCACAGGTCTCATCCATGCTCTGGGGGTGAGAATTATCCAGGCTGATTATACAGGCTGATTGTCATAAACAGAAGGGGTGGGGGTCACCCGCCACTTTAGTTTCTGTCTGCCACAGTTGGAGAGGTTGCAATCTCTAATTCAGACAAATATTTATGTACATATACATATATATTTATATTCACATATATGTTTATTGAATAATGGTAAGTGCTATGGTAAAAATATCCTAGGTTTGAAAAGAGGCATAATTAGAAAACAACTATAACATTAATGGAAACAGTACCCAGGGAAGGCTAGTGGCATTTCAGTTAAGACCTGATGTGAGGGTGAAAACCATGTGGATTCCGAGGAAAAAGCAGTCCAAGGCTAAATGAAGTGCAAAGGTACTGAGGTAGGTGTACTAAACATGCTCCCAGCAAAGTGCACATGTCTGAAATTGGGTAAGCAAGAGGAAAATCGTAGAAAATGTGTTCAGAGCAGTAATGGGCATTAGTTGACTTTCATTTGATAAAACAAGAGTATCTTTGATGAGCCTGGCCTAATCAGGTGAAAACCCTTAAAGGAGGGACTGAGACCTCCCTGAAGCTCTCCTTGTTGGCTTGATGAACTAAACAGCCAAGTTGAGGAAGTGGGGTGGGGACCTGCAGGCAGCTTCTGGGACCAAAAGCCAACAAAAAGCTGGGGCCGAAAGTCCTAGAGCTGCAAGGAAATGAATTCTGTCAACAACCTGAGTGAGCTAGGAAGTGGAATTTTCCATAGTTGAGCCTCCAAATGGGAATATAATCTGGCCAATATCTTAAATGCAGCCTTTTGAGATCTGAACAGAGTATCAAGCAAAAATTTGCCTGACCTTGCTCCGTTTTTTCTGGAACAGGCATTCCGTAAGTGTTGAATAAACGTTTCTGCCTGCCATTTAAAGCAAGGCAAGTTGGTTCTAACTTCAGAAGGCCCTTATTTATCTGATCTTAGGACCCGCACTTCGGGCTGTTATTACTAGTGCATCTCATCACTTAACCAGTCTGTGGTCAGCCCTGCTTCTGGGCTTTTCACTGTATTCTCCCTTCTGTAAAGTGCTCTCCACTGACCGCTCCACTTGCCCAAATTCCACCCGCCTCTGTGCACATCTTCAGCAGAAACAAGTTGCTCTACCATTTAGGAGTGATGGGCTTCCAGTATACTAATTTAAATTTGGACACTAATAAGGAAATATCCCCCAGTTTATATTTGGATTGCTTTTAATGTACTATCTCAAAAGATTATTTTAAATGTGTGTGTAGTTTTTTAATGTATGTGTGTATATAGTAATATAATTATTATTAGTAATACTACTTACGTGGCAGATATTAGGTTAGGTTATATAGATTTTATCTTCTTTACCCTTTGAATATTAAAACAGCTCCCATAAGGTTTTTATTCTCCTTTTTAGTGAGGGAACTAAACTAAGGAAACTAAGGTGTGGTTATTTTCGGTAACTTCTCCAAGGCAAGACAAGCGATTAGCAAAGCTAAGAAAGGCATTTAGGCTTGTGTATCTTCAAAGGCAATGCTTTTTCCAGTACCCGAAATTATCTTCTCCATTAAATAAAAAAAAATATGAAACAAAAAGCACATAGTAGCAAAACATGCAAACAAATATTTCCCATTATCTTATATACCTATATACTTATTAAAACTAGCTATTTATCTTTGATCTTGCCATCTTCTCTTTAAAGGTTCATCAGGTTATGCATTTTTAAAACTACTCTTCTTAGAAAATCAGAGCAACACAGAGTCACAGGTGCATCTTAGAAAGAAAGAAAAACTTGTGCCTGAGCTAGCACAAAAACCAAACCAAAACCAAACATGTATGTGAGTGAGAAATAAGTGAATGAAAGGAGTAAGGGATTCTTTTTCTGTCAAATTTCTTATGAACAAAAAAGCAAGTTTAAAAAAGGTATATGAGTTACCGGTTAAAACATTGATGTACCTGTCTAAAGATAAATGTACAAAGGCATGGATTAATCATTGCACACACTCAAAGGACAACTGTGCACTTGTTTAGCAGTAAATTCGGTTTATAAATAGCAAGAGAACAACACCCTTTCTTACTATTATTGTGGATATATGCTAAAGGGAATAAAACTTTTGCATACAGGTCACAGGATCAAATTCAGTTTATACTTTCTTTTGACTCAGAATTGTAACTAGTTAAGAGTTGTTTTATATTATAAGTAAAAAATTATTTAAGGCCAATTTTCTAGTCTGTGTGTGCTCATGAGTATGTTTTAAGCTCTAAGTGTAGCCAACAGTATGCTTGCTTAGTGTAGAACAACTGGTATCATTCAAACATATAAAAATTGACTTATATCATAAAGCAACATGACAGAAAAACTCCAACAAACCTTCCAGATAGAGAAGAATCACAGGGTTGATGTTGCCAATATGTAAAATATTGATTTAGAAAAAAAAGGGGAATAATGGTTCCAATGACATTGATGTTAATGATAGCATCAAAGAAAAATGACAAGAACATTGTGTCCTTGTAGTATTATTACTCCTAGTCAGTCAGCCCTGATACGTACTGAAGTCACTGAGGTAATTGATTAAGTTTTTATACAAGTTGTGCAGGGCAAAGAACAATTTTATGAAATTATTATATATGGCAAAGATTTACATAAAATTCTAAGAAATAAAATGTGAGGAAAATACAAATTTGAAGTTCACAATTAAGAAATAAGACTTGGAAACTGGTTGTAAATTTAAAATTCTTAACCATTAAAAAGAAGTGGAAGAAAAGGCTGCTTCACAGGTTAAAATGCTACTTGCTTACCCACTGTTTGCCACAGGGTTATTAACTTCTGGTCAGAGGACACTTGGTCATTTTTAACCATGGGAATCCAATGGTGAGTAATAATTTTACTAGTATTAGTAGCAATGATAGTTGTACTATAAACAATGATAGTAATTAAAATGGATCAAGTGTTTCTTATGTTCTATTGTTTGTGTTTTTTAATTTTTCCAAAAACCATGTGAAGTAGGTACTATTCTTGCACCATTTTAAGGAAAAGTTTTAGTGGTGAATCACAGGCAATGTCTAATCTTGAATACTTGGCCATGCGTGTGCTCGGACAAACAATAACATTTTCCAGGAAGAATAGGTAAGCAGCCTGCAACATTTTTGCCCTGGTGTCTTCCCCTCCTTGAATCATAAACCAATGATAATTCAGAGGTAAGTTATTCAAATCATTAGTCTTTTAATAATTTTTTGTGGTTAAATTGGTAAGGTTTTTTATCTTAGCTCTTCATATTTTTAACGTGTTTTTGCTCTGTTGCAGTTGTAATTTCATTTAACACTTGAGGTAAGTAAATATTGCTATCATGGCCTGGAACGAAATGTTGCTGGATGATTAAGAGCTACAGCATCAGACTGCCTGAATTTCTATCCTGATTTGTTCACCTATTAGCTATGTTAATCCAAACAAACTGTTTAGTCTTTCTGTAACTCAAGTTTTTCATGATAAAAATAATAATAATAGTAACTACATCATGAGTTACAGTGATATGAGGACTAAATGGAATATTACAAGCAACTCATTAAGAGCATAGTAAAAGCTCAATGCCTATTAGCTCTCATCAAACCGGTTTTACAGGTAAAGAAATTGAGGCACAGGGTCCAGTGTCACAGAGTCAGTGTCAAACTAAGAATTAATCATGACGACTTTTAGTTCAACATTGTTTCTCCTCCACAACCCCCACTCCCCAGACTTGACTGCTGGATCCCAAAGCAAGCTGTAGATTCAGTCCAAGGGATCTTTAAGTAATAATAATGATAGCTAACATTTCCTGAGCATGTCCTGTGTGCTAAGTACTGTGTTAAATCTCTTAAATAGAGTATATCATTTAATCCTCAAAAATTTATTAGATAGCCATTATTATTTCATCCATTTACAGAGGAGGAAGGCAAAGCTAAGAATATTTAAGTGATCAATTAACTGCCCCAATATACACGGCTAATTAAGTTCCTAAGCCAGAAGTCAAATTTAGGCATTGTAGTTTCAAAGCTCAAGTTTTACCCATTCACTTTCACCTATATAATTTACTGACTAAATAAGTAAGTGGACCGTAATTCCCACTAGATATTATCATATTCAAAAGTCAGACACACTAGACTGCCTTCCACTATCCTATCATCAAAGAAATCCAAATATAATGTGTTTTTCTAAGCACACATTCCCTTTTATATCAAGAACAACTTAAAGAAACATTCTCCATTTGCTTTTAGAGCAGTTAGATGAACTCCCACAAAATAGACAAAAACATTGTTGAATGAACAATTAAATACGCAAGACATATATAATCCTGCTGTAGGAAGCAAATGACTTACCTCAAAAGCAAATGACAAGGACGGGAGGAGAGGCTTCAGATGACCAAATCGGCACAGCATCAGAAACACCAAGCAACGGCATGTTTCCACAACAGCTGCGTGAGGTCTGAAATCAGTGTCAATAACATGTATTAGCTTTAAATCTGCTCTTTACCTGTTTACCTGTTATAATTAATATGGTAATACACATTTGTTTTCAAGAAATTCATAATATTTCAATATATTTGAAGAGCATGTGCCTCTGAAGCTGTTTGAAAAAAGCCATCAAACTAAGAAATAAAATATATCTTTTAAAGAAAACCTGGTCTTTTAAAGAAAATGCATGTCTTAGGTAGGGCGTGATGAGTTAGGGTGAAGCATACTCTCAGCTAATAAATAAAATATTAGACAACTTAATTTTGGGGGTTTAAAGTAAATGATACTTCCCTCACTCAATACCTTTATCTTTATACTTCAATCACTTAAAAAGTGACTTGTTAGGAGGACTGATATAGTTAAGTGTTCTAAAATAATGAACAGTCAAAATCTGAAACACTAAGAATATAAAATCTGTGTAGTTACGTCTTATTTGATGGGTAGCATAAATACAGACTTTCTTAATTATTTTTCTATGAATATTTTCTGTATATATATTATCTCTAAAATATATGAAATGTTTCTTTATGTATTTGAAATTGAGTTGAACGTTGCACACAGGCATTTATTGATTGTCTTAAAATGATAGTAAAAAAGGGCTACTTTATCAGCTTAAATTAACTTCATATGATAGTTACCTAACACTGGGAAAATTAAATATTTTTGTAAAAGACAAGTGAATTTTCTAACTAAAATGTTCTTGAGTTAATGTCATCATAAATAGATTTAGTTTAGAAAATAGGTATATTGAAAAAAGTGGGAAAAATATAAAGCAGTACATTTTTTAATGTAAAACTTTCTTCTACTGTTTACTGACTCATTGTTTCTGTAAAATTGAACGTAACAACATTATAGTACCAAAAAAGTACACATTTTTAAACTCAATAGAGACAGAATAATAGTTTCTGACTTGTTTGCATTCAAGTAATGTGATTAATTTTGGGGACAAATATTAACAAAGCTTTCCTCTTGTAACATAATGTTATATTTTATTACTATAAATTATTAAGAATAATACCTGAGTAATTTTCCATTTAAAAAAGAAAACAAAGAGGTGAGGGGATTAAGAAGTACAAACAGTTGTTATAGAATAGCCATGGGGATGTGAACTGTAGTACAGGAAATGGAGCAGCCATAGGACCTGCGCATGACCCATGGGCATGAACACTGGGGGGAGGGTTGCTTGATGGAGTGGGTGGTACTGGGGGGAGGAGGGGCAAAGGGGGAAATCAGGACAGCTGTAATAGCATAATCAATAAAATATAATAAAAAAGAAAAACAAAACAGAATAAGATTTAAAACACATAGAGTTTTTTGTTATTTTTATTAAATGTTTTACCTTTTAAACTTTTGTATTATGAAATGAAACATACACATAGAGAAGTATACAAAACAAAAATATGCAGCGTGGTGATTTTCAACCAATAAGCAACCGTGTAACTATTGCCCAATGTCAGCATCCCCAAAGATACCTCTTACCTCCTCAACATTTTCACTCTCCCACCCTGGTGTGAACAGGAATCAACTCCCCAACGTTAGTGGTATGATTACCCTTTCTTGCTCATTTTGAAAAGAATATTTTACTACATTAGCATAAATTTCTAAAAACTAGTCTATAGATTATACTATATGCACTTTTTTGTATCTACCATCTTTCACTCAATGTTAGTGAGATAGATTTATGATGCTCTATGTAGTAGGGGTTCATTCTTTCCCTCTTGTGTAGTATTCCATTGTGTGGATATACAATATGTGTGCATCCATTCACCTCATTAAAGCATTTGATGTTGGCCATATTTGTTTATTATAAACAATGTTGTCTGCACATTTCCTTACATGCCTTTACATACATTGTTTAGTATAGAACAAGGAATGAAATCCTGGGTTACAGGGGTTATATATGCTAAATATATGTTAAATTTATGTTAGAAAAATTCTCAGTTTTTCAAATTATCACAATATAAATTCTTTTGTTCAGTTTGTGAGCATTCTAACAGCTGCTATTATCAATCCTTTTAATTTTAGTCATTGGGATATAAGTTCTTAGCTACTTCTAAAATTTGCCAATAATGTCTCCTAACTTGGTTTTATTTTTTTTACTGTCTCAAAGAAAGTGAATTTTTAAAAAACTGGCTTTCTTACTATTATGATAGTCTAATTCATCAATTTTATCTTTATGATTAGGAATTTTTTTACACCATTAAAAATATTTTTATGCACTCCAAAGTTATAGAGATACATTACTAGGCTATCTGCTAGAATCCATATTGGTTTTCCTTTTCCTTTTCAAGTTATAATCTCTTGACCCCAGAACTAATTTTCATGGTGCAAAATATTTGTCAAGTTTATTTTTCTTATTCCTATGTAGAAATCCAATTTTTCCAAGACCATTTATTGAAGAGCCAATCTTTTCCCATAGCTCTGTGGGGACACTTTTGTCACAAATCAAGTTTAAATATAAGCATAAATCTCTTTCTAGGTTTTTCTCTTCTAATTTTTGTGCCAATAAAACATGTCTAATTACTGTAGTTTTAAAATAAATCTTGATGGCAAGTTATGCAATTCCTGCCATTTTTCTAAACCTCAAGTCTGTGTTGGCTATTGAGCTATCTACATATATTTTAGAAAGAGCTTGTCAAATCTAGGAGGAAACCTTGCACAATTTCAATTCAGATTGCTTAAACATGTAAATCAATTTGCTAAGTATTGTAATCTTTACAATACTGAGCATTCCAATTTATGAATATAGTTATCTACTTACTTAGTTCTTTACTTTTCATAATATTTCAAAAGTTTTATGGTGTTTTAAAAGATATTTTATACTCATTTTTTTTAGGATTTTATTTTGATATTTGATGCTATTACTTATACAGTCATGCATAATGACATTTCAGTCAACATGTAGGATGGTGATAGTTCCACAAAATTATAATGGGGCTGAAAAATTCCTGTTGCCTAAGGAGTCTTCGGCCTGGTAAGTTTGTACTGCAGTGCATTACTGTTCTGTGCTGGTGTTAGTCTACCAGTAGTAAAGCTATGGGCTAGAAAAGCCTAGGGGCTCCCGCCTTCTCCTGGTGAGTTTTTCACAGACACCCTCCTTTCAAAATCAATGTTGCTGCTGAATGGACCCTGCTGATTCTAACTTTGCAAAACACCCTTCAGCAATAACCACTAGCAACCCTTGGCTTACATGCAGGTCCTGGAGTGTACAAGGCACACAAGGAGGTCTTACTTGGGCTCAGAGAGAAAGAGATAGACAGAGGCACAGAGATGTAAAGGCAGGGAGGGATGGGGGGATAGGGCGGGGGGTGGGGAGTGGAGAGGAAGAGAAGAGGGGAAGAGAGAGAGAGAGGCAGACAGACAGATATGGGCCTGGGATCCTGCTTTTATTGGGGTCAAGGGTTGGGCCTAGTGTTTCATGGGCTTACTCATTTTAGGCAAATTTAAAGTGTGGAAAGAGAAAAAAAAAGTAGCCAAATGGTCAGTTATCCAAATCAACCAGGATCTCTGAAACAAAGGAGCCTCAGTGGCGGGGGGCGGGGTGGGGAGGTGGCCACCTGGCTCTTTATGTAGCAAGATGTGGCTGTCAAGGTGACTATTCTAGATAGCCTGCCTTAAAGTTGATGCTGATAAAATAAAAACTGAACTTGAGCACTTTCTCTGTACAAAGGAAAAATCAACTGTCCAGGCTTACACTACACTTAATTAGTCACATGTTTGTGGTCAGCTGGTGTAAACAAACCTACTATGTGGCCAGTATTATAAAAGCACAGCACATAAAATTATAGTAACAGAATAAACCATCGTTTGTGTAAATACACTCCATGATGTTGACACAAAGACAAAGTTGCCTAATGATGCATTTCTCAGAATGTATCTCAGAATGAGTTCCTCAATAAGGCCCAAGGCATTTTGGACTTTTAAATAATTATATACAGTAAGAATAATTGGATAATTGTGGTAAAATTGATAGCTTTCTTATCTGGTCTTTTATCTGTATCTGTAGAGGCAAAATAAATCTTCATAAGAAAATGGATTTAGGGAAATGCAAATTAAAATTACAATGAATGACAACCTCACACCTGATGGAATGGCTATTATTAACAAGAGCAGTAATAAGTGTTGGAAAGGTTGTGGAGAAAAAAGGAACCCTCATTCATTGCTGGTGGAAATGTAAACTTGTAGAGCCACTACGGAAAACAGTATAGCAGTTCCTCAAAAAATTAAGAATAGAGTTAACATATGACCCAGCAGTCCCTCTTCTGGGTATCTACCAAAAACGTTTATTCAAAAGATATATGCATCCCTATGTTTATTGCAGCAGTACTTAATTATGGCCAAAACATGGAAACACCAAAGTGCTCTTCGATAGAGTAATGGATAAAGAAGATCTGGTACTACGGATCACTATTCAGCCATAAGAAAAGATGAAATACTGCCATTTGTGACAACATGGGTGAATGCTGAGAACATTATGCTAAGTGAAGTAAGTCAGGCAGAAAGAGCTAAGACCCATATGATTTCACTCATACGTGGGAATAAAACTGAAACCCATGGACACAGACAACAGCATGGTGGTTACCAGAGGGAAAGGGGTTGACAGGCTAGTAAAGGGTAAAGGGGCCAAATATATGGTGACTGAAGATAGTTTGACTTCGGGTGTTGGGCAGACAATACAACATATAGATTATGTATCATAGAAATGCATGCTTGAAACCTGTATGATCTTATTAACCAATGTCACCTCAATAAACAAAAAATCAAAGATCATTAAAGGACCTATGTAGTTCTTTCAATAAAACCTACAATTTGAAGAAAAATGATACTATACTATTGCTATTGGCTAACTGCTAATTCTATTAAGTGCATACAAAAAATAGAATTGTGATGTTTAATAGAATTGCGATTCTTCGGATGTGAGTAATTATTTCAGGTTGACTTGAGACTCATTTTTCCATTTTCTCATTTTATGGCTCAGTATTTATATACTTTACTTCTAGTGTAGAAAAGTACGGAGAGAGAGCCAAACAAAATGAATGATAAAATAAACACCAGTTTTAATGTATTGAAGGAAAAAGGTTTAAAATTCTATGCATTATTTACATATGACTATGTGAAATGTGTCGGCTGCATCGTTCTTTACCGAATGTTTATAGAGAATGCATATTATAAACAGTTTCATTAACTAGAGAGGTCATGTGAACCTGGATCTTGAAACTCCAAAATCTTTTGCTGTTCCAGAACATCCATTAAGCTATCCTTGGGAAAGTGAATACATTCGATATAAGTTAAATGTTTGTTTTCTGGACTATTATATTTAACATTTACTGAAACTAATGATTATTGGTTACCAACCTAAAAAACAATAACACTACAACAAAGATAAGATTGTGAGAATGACTAAGCTTTTTTGCGATTTTTCACAGTTATAATATATGTAAATTTTGTAATTTGTAAATTCTTGGTCACATTGCTTGGATTTGTGTTTTATTCTGTCTTTTATTTTCTATCTGTCTGACCTTGTTAATCTGTAAAATGGGCTTTATAGTAATTATTATCTCAGAGTATTGTTATAAGCATGAATAACATTCCATGGTACATATTAAATATATAAATATTGGTATTAGTATTAATGTTAATAATTGATAAATATTGAACTGTAATATTTGAATATATACTTTATGCCAAAAAAGCAATTTAAAATTGTTCAGTGTATTTTGTGGCCAGGGTAGTATTTAAAACAGGATTCCTTAAATAAAATGCTATGTGAGGGTAAAGAACATAAACTTTAAATATATACACATTCAGACATATTATGAACTATGAAATGGCAAAAGAAAAACCCTCAAAATATGTTTTATATTTTATTAAGTACTCAGAGTTATGGTCTATGTTTTGCCAAATTAATCATTATATTTATAGGTTTTTAAAATAAACTTGAAAATCCTAACTTTCATTTAAAAGACTTAGATTTAAAATCCACCCTTGATATAAAATCAGATATACTGCTACTATGTTTCATTTAAAATAAAGGTGTGAAATTATAGTTTCAACTTTATTTTTTCAATAACAAATGTTAGGTGAATAACAACATTTTACATATATTTTAAAAACTACTTTATAAACTTATATAAAATGAAAGAATTTCACATCTTGCCTTTGATCCAGAAGAAATCCAATGGAGGTCAAGGTCAGGATAATGAAGCAAACCCTCAGAAGGAGAGTGAACTGTGACAGTTCCTGTCAAACAAGTACACAGACCCACAGATGTTTCAGGAAAGTTATCCGAAGGTGCATTAGAATTAAAGCTGACATGAAAAACAGCCCCAAATTACATTTTGTATTATACTGTCACTGACCTTTTTCAAAGAGGTTGACATTTTCAAAAAAGGACATTTCGATTTTCCTAATGTCATTTATTTATCTTGTGAGACACTTGCAGAATGAATTAGACAATTTCACAATGATATTTTACTGACTGGTTTTTTCTAGAATTCTCTTTTTAAGTTTGACTTTTATAATTCTTTGAAGTACCTATGCCCTCATGTATGGAGAGATCACTTAGATTTTTGTGAATAAATACCACATTCCGAGAGCTATTTTTAATATGACCAGTTCTTTGTGGTTTCAAACACAAAGCTGTCTTTAATACAGAAAATATTCAAAGGAGAATGCATTTATGAGTGTGAACACATATATGAACGAGTATTCACACACATTCATATTTGATGAAATCTATATGTTTATATGTAGTATCAAAGGCATTACCTTTTGAATTATAGTGACATCAGTTTTGTCATAGTTATAAATACATTGTACATTTTGTTCACATGTCAAAAATAATAATAGCGTTTCATTGGGTTTATCCTTATTTCATACCATCCAATGTTGGTATATATTTCAGGAAAACATTGCTGGCCTAAAATGCTAAAATGAAATTATTTTTTAATTTTACCTTTGGATGTATTTTATAATACATGATTTCAAAAAAGAATAAAAGTGGAAGACCATAACCATAAAAAGCTTTGTTAAGCAAGGGATTCTTTTCCTTCCTTTAAAGTGATCTTTAAAATGCCAAGTAGTTGGGTAGCTCTGACTTCCACAGGCCTCCCAGTGCAGGTATATGCCTGGAGGATGCTACCTGTCTGCAATTTTTTTAAAGAAGATGGGAAAAGAAATACTCTGGAAGTGACATTAACCATATAGAAACTCTAGAATTACATGTTTGACACAGTGCTGCTTAAACAACCAATGAACTTTGTTCACAGATACAAAGTAGAAAGCTTTTTCTTCTGGAAAGGGAATATGACCCTCTTACCATTCTGTGGCAAAACTCTGGTGGTCAACGTCTCTACTTTTCATATTTCCCTACCTGATACATTTCACAGCAGAAACTATCAGCCCCATATGCTGTGGCTTAAAATAATCATATGCATCTATGTAAAAATTATTTTTATTAGACTTTGTGTATTGTCAAAGATGATTTGATAATATTTTCCATGATTTTATTCTAAGGATGAAAAAAAAGGTATGGATTTTGCTATTATAACAAGGTGGTTTATTTTTAAGAATTTCTCTAAACAGTGTCTGAGAAGGAGTACTAAAGTCACTATTTTGATTCAAAATGCTCAGATTCCCAAACATCTTTAAGATGAGGCCAGAATGATCTAACACTTAAACATTTGTAACGTCTGAGAAGGCAGCAGATGGGGTTTGCTGGACACCTGCCGGGCTGCCTTATCACCCCTAGGACTGCGGGCTCCGCCTTCCAGATGTCTTGAGCTGCTGGTTTAGTTATGCTGAAACTAGTGTTTGAAGATGCTTCCCAGTCTTACCGCTTAGACACCGGAACAGAACCCTAGGTGATATCATAATGCAATTTGTAATTCTATGTGGCTCTCAAGACTTTATCTTGAAATAAGATCTTGCTCTTTAAAAATTTTGTCAATATTGACTATGCTCTCTTTTTCTAAATCTTCAAAACTCCCTAGGTGGTTACTATTGAAGCATTAAAAAAAGACATATGATTAGAATGAACAGTTTTTAGAATTCAAACAGGAAGGAAACAAAATAAATATTTCAAAGGTGAAAATATATCAGCTAAAATGTATAATGAATATATAGTTCAGAAGCATTAAATTGATACAGAATTTGTGCATTTGTACAAATTTTGTAAGAAATAGAACCAAAAAATAAAAACTTTAACCAAATACTTAGAGAATACGGTTACAATTATATTTTAAACTATGACTACACCCTACTAAAAAATGAATGTACACCCAACACAATAGAGAAGCAAGAGCTGGTTTATGCTCCCACTTGAAAAAAAGAAAAAAAAACAGAACACAACAATATACATCAACCAATTGTTTTTAAGACATTGGACATAAGGCAACAGAGGTTGGTGGTTCTCTGAAAATGGATATAAATGACATGACCCCTGCTATTGCCATATCCTAATACCTTGACAGTTTCTAGGCTGCAATTCAGAGGCTACCCATAGAAGTATAAGCCCTACACCCTCCTATTATTTCCCAAAATAAAAAAAGAGAAAAAGGAGAGATTAGAAGACAGTATCAGAGAGACAAACCTCTTTTTCATGAGTATTACTTTTAATAAAGAAATATGACTCCCAGGAATTATGTATTTAGATTTGGAGTTTCCAAAGCTGAAATAAAATATCTAATTGTTACATATTTTGAGAAATCAAAATAAGATCATAATTTAAATGATAAGCATTTTAGGGTTGATTGTGTTTGTTTTATAATAACTTTTAAAAAAATTATTGTTCATTGATTCTAGAGAGAGAGAGAGAGAGAGAAGAGAGGAGGGGAGAGAGAGACATCCATTTGTTGTTCCACTAATTTATGTGCTCATTGGTTGATTCTTGTGTGTGCCTTAACCAGGGATGGAACCACAACCTTGGTGTATCAGGATGACGCTCTAACCGACTGAACTCTAACCACGTGGGCCTGTAGGGCACCAACCATGTTTGGGGATAGTATTAATAACACGGAGATATATTTCATTCCACAATTAATATTTCATTCTTTGATGTATATGACATTTTTAATGTTCACTTTCCTACTTTATTAGTTTTCAATGTAGTGGAAAAATTACAGTTTTCATTCGAACTCACCATGATCACTTTTCTGCAGTCTATGCTTATTAGTGTAGGTAACTTGTGCTAATATTCTTTCTTTGCTACACATTTATTCCATTTATTTTGTGGCTTTAAGTTATAATTGATGCTCATTTTGATTCACATTTCATTTTTTTCATATTATTTCAGTTACCACCTAAAAATTTGAGGAAATTAAATTAAATCCCAATGGGCTATACTGGAAGAAAACAGTATACAGAGGATATTGACTTGAGAGGTTTCACAAAGGACTAAATTGAATTTGCTCAAGTGACACTCTCTGTTATGAGAGTACAACTAAATACATTGATTTTTTTTTTCCAAAGGGTCCGTTAAAACAGGTCAACATGAAAACATTAGTTACAAAATTTCAGTGCCCATAATGTTTTACAGAGTACAACATCCAGGGGAATTTAAAACTATAAAACTCTGTTTCCAAATTTATATTGGATATTCTCAGATGCCTCATTAACTTTAAATATATCATGAAATAATCTGGTTAAAACATATCTGAAGTAACTTTGTTACACATTCTATTATAAGACACTATTTAATATTCAAACTGGTTTGAGAGTGTCTGTTATTTAAAAGGACAGCATTGCCTTTACAATATTACTTTGGAAACATATTTTCATTTCAAATGTGTATTCATGATATCACCCCATGAAGTAGACCCTGGCAGCTAAGGAATTGATTTCCCAAGCATTACTAAACCAAGATCAACATAAAAGTCTGTGGTTCATATCACTAAACCAAACAATATATATTTAAATGTATGCACTGCATGTTTCAGAAAGAAAGGAATGTGCCTTTTACACCTTTGTGGTAGCCATCAAATTGCTTTCTTGACTCCCAAAGTTATTTATACAAAACTCGCACACATAAAACAAGTGAGTATTCACCTACTCTGGTATATGCATAAACAGAAAGGGCTGTGGGACCACAGCATGTCCACAGTTACAAGTCAGCCACAACTTTTCTATGTGATTATTGGCTACAGCAAATCTGGAAAAAAAATATTGCTGTTGGATTTTAATGTCTTCATATGCCTTCAAACATCCCTGAGACTAGAAAGGGCACTATAGAATTGTGCAAATAAGCAATCTTTTTTCCTAGTTGCACAGCATGTTTTTAGCAAAGAAAAAACATGTGTGGGAAACAAGCAAATGCACCTTTTCAAAATGCATTTGTGTCAGGAATGAGGCTGTCTCCAACTCTAATTTCAGTTTGAAAAGGATTTCAACACTTGGTATTTCTCTTTGTCAATATATCGACATGAGTTTCTCATATAGTTTTGACTACAGATGAAAAATCCTGTGAAAACCATGCTATAAGTTACATATTTTAACATACATAGTGTCTGGCTACATTTTTACCCAGGAAGCACTCACGCTGGCCTAGACACTCAAATCTCTTGGTGAACTTATATTAAGGGTCTTTATTTCAATAACAAAATGGGTAAATTTCTATTTTTATTCCTACAAATCAGTATAATTTATTTTGGAATTTTATTTAGTGTCACTAAAATAAATACATCAAGTTGTAATTAGCATTGGTCAGTATCTCGAGCACTGGATACAGGGGTGGGCAAAAGTGGCTTAATAATAATAATAATGCAATAATTAAAATGATAAATAAACCACAAGAATAAACTGTGTTTTATGTACTCTCAACTACTTTCGCCCACCTCTGTATTTGGATGTAGATGATCTTGCTTTTCTTCTGTTTTCATTCAACTATCTAAACTCTATAATGTATATATATATAATTTAATCACAATTTAGGTGAACGAATTAAGATAACAAAGTAATTAGTGATGGGTTGATTAAGTAATACTTAAAGAGATGCTATGAGGCCTTAGTTAATTAATAATTCTAAACATTAGGGTAGTTTGATAGCTACATGTGCATAATTAAGAGTGATATAGTTCATACTCCTTTTAAGAAAGCTTTGCTCCTGAAATATATTCTTGGGTTCAAATTTTGTCTCTTCTGAAGCTAAAGCCAAATGAACAGGCCACATTGTGGTACTGGTTTCATTAGTTGTAGCACATGTATGAAAGAACAAACAGTAAGTCAGTATATTTCCTACCATTATATTCTCAAGACATTCTGATATTCTGCAGGGCAGTTTATATGTGGGTATTTTATAAATGTTTAAAGAATATTTTTTGAAAACAAGTTCAAATCACATATTTATGAATGAGAATGATTTATGTAGCTCTAGCGTTTATTTTTGCCTACTTAAATCTATTTCCTTTTTTTTAAATAATCATCTCAATTTTTCTTCTAAACCATCCTATCCCCCTGTCTCAAACCACCCTATCCCTCATCTCGGACAAGGAGGCTCAGAGGGAGCTGGGCCTGTCTTTCCATTCACAGACCGAATGGTCTGTGATCCAGGCTTGACCACATTGCATGGTTCGGTTATATCCAGGTAAACCAAGCCTTAACATCAGCCTCCAACCGAAAACTGTCACTTCTAGAGTTCTTTGTGAGGCTGCACTTACAGCTAGAGCTCATGATAGCTACCCTGACGTCACAATGGCTGAAATTCATAGGAGAATATGCATTTTGAGAAAAGCATAGCTGTTAGAAAGAAAAAGATTCCTGGTGGCATTATTTCATTCACTGAATGCAGTACTGCCTGAAGGAGAAAAATTCTAAACTCTTCAGCTCTATGAGTTAACAAATTCACTCTGGGTTGGATTTCAGTCACATACAGCCAAAAAGTCCTGCCTAACACATTCAGTATTCTACTTAAGTAGATTTATTTCTTAGATAATTTCACAGGGTTGCTATTTTAAAGTTATTAAAAATAAACATATATAACTATTTTTCTGTATGTATTATTTATAAATTTCTATTACTTATGGGGTTTTCATGGGTAGACTATCTCAATAGCAGAGACTTATTCTTTAAAAAAGATAATTTATCTTGCCTGGATTCACTGTCCAATAATCATATTTATATTCATTTATATTTTTCTAGATTCTTATTTTTTTTAGAGTTTTTCATAGTATTATTTGTGTCATATATTTTTATCTCATAATCTTTTAGGACTGAATAACGGAAATATTTTTATCTCTGTGTTTTAATGCACTAATTCTCTCTTCATTTGTCTTTAAACTGCTATTTACCTCATGTCTATTTTATTTTGTTATACTAGAACTTTAATTTAATTATTTCTAAAGGTGCCTCATCGTTTTTTATTGTCTCTTGTTTCTTGATGTTTCATAATTTTTAATTTCTTCAACTTTTACTTCTTTAAACGTATTTAATTTCTGTTTCAACTGATCTTCTTTCCAAAATCTGTTGTATGTTAAAGTTTAATTGTGCTGTTTTTTTGTTTCTGGAAATACTTCGTCATGTTGGCTTTTTTGTAGTGTGTTTCTGTGCTTTTTATCTCTGAGTTCATAATCATTAAGACTATCTATGGGAATATGGTAAGACCTGGGTTTAATGAATGGCTCTAAGCATGGTCTAAATGTGGGTCTTCTAAATACATGAGACCTAAACTGAGATCACTTTAAACTAGGTTCTTAGCTTTAGGCTTATAAATCAATGCTTAGTGTAAATCCTCTACTCACATCTGAATGAGGACAGGTTTGTAGCTAAAAATTCTCAGGAAAGATTTAAAAAAAAATTCTGCCTTCTCAAAGCCATCCTTACCCCAACCCATAAACGAAGCATTTCTTTTCAGTTTTGGTTGCTTTATTTGAAGTTTTTTATCTGAATTCTCACCAATGTATGGTCTTGGCTTTGTCTGGTCACTTAAGTTCTCAATCAACAGAAATTGTTTAATGCCCTAGAACAACTGTGAGAATTAGCACTGTTTCCTCATTGGATTTTCATTTTCTCAACATTTTTTGCTTCAATTTTTTGCAAGCTCATCTATGCAGTGCATTTAAAGAGGCTTTTTAAAGTATATTTTATCCACAATTCTAGTTGCTCTGTATACCTTAAAAAGAAATATATATAATATATTAATATATATTTTATATATAATATATTTATTATATATTTCAATAGAAAAATATATATCACCATTTTATTGCATTGGGTTGGCAAAAACTTTCATTCTGTTTTGTAAGATGGTTCTAGTAAGTGCTTAGTTGTCTTTAACTTCATTCAAAACAATTTTGTTAGATTGTATTGTGAAAGCTGTCATATCAGTGTGCATTTAAAAAAAACTTATCAAAATAGGTGAATTTTTGTGTAGCCATTTTAATACTGAAGTTAGAAGAAAATATGCAAAATCTTTGGCATATTATGCTTTATTATTTCAAGACAGGTAAAAATGCAACTGAAACACAAAAAGAGGTTTGTGCAGTGTATGGGGAAGGTACTGTAACTGATTGAATATGTCAAAAGTGGTTTTCCAAGTTTTGTACTGGAGATTTCTCACTGGACAATGCTCCACAGTCAGGTGGACCAGTTGAAGTTGACATTACTTGAGAACAAACAATGTTATACCATGCAGGAGAGGGCTGACATATTCAAAATATCCAAATTAATAAAGTTATTGATGAAAATGAAAAACATGTCTTTTATCTTATGGAAAAAACATGGACTTTTTGGCCACCCAATAAATAGAACCCTCTCCATTTCTTTAAAGCTTAATTACTTATCCAAAGAGAGCTACTATGTGAGCCATCAAAATTCCTGATTTAGTGAGGTTATTTTATGAGGTACTTATTTTCTTGGGAAAGAAGGCAAAAACACTGATTTTTTATTCTTCCATGATTCTATATTCAGTTTCACCTACTTCCAAATTAGTTACCTTTTCATAATTTATGTACTTCTTTGAACTATTGTAAATCATTTTCTTAGAAAACAATATAAATTCTGAAAACAAAACAGAGGTAGCGTATTTAAAATATATATGTTTTTATCTTTACAATGTACTATGCATTTTTACATACATTATTTTATTTTTACTTTCTCAAAAATGTAGGCAGTGAGAGTATTTTTATGTGGCTAAATAAATAAATAAACAAATACCTTCCCAGGTGATAATGCCTGAATTAAAATCCAGACTCTAAACCCTGGTCCAATGCTCTAGCTATTCTGAATATTCTGAATGTTTAAACAAAACAAATGAAGTCTACCCTACATTGAAAACTTTCTAAAGTCAAATATATAAAGTCAAATATAAGGGTATTTTCTAATTGAAAATATGCTGAAATTAATATAAAGTATTTTTCTCAAACATTTAATTCTAAAGGACTTTTTTTTTGTATTTGTTGAGAAATTTACTTGTAGCAAGTTATTTACCATTTATCATTTAGTTCAATAGTATACTATTTGGCATTCTATACTGAAACACTTTGGATATAGTTAATTTGCATTCAATAGTCTAGAAGGATTCATTTATCTCTTTTAACATGAGATATTTTATCAAGCAAAATGACAAATGTTCACACTATTTCAACTGGGCAATACTTACAGCTTTATCTGCAAAGGTATCTTCATAAAATGCTAGCATCAGAGCAAACTGTACAACTGCATATATCTTTAGTAGGTGAGACGCAGATGATGAGAAGGGAACTTCTTTCCCTGTAACCTAAGAAGGCAAGAAAGAAAGGCCTTTTGCTTATATCACTCCCTGGCTTATTCCTCTCACTGAAATTCACACTAACTAAAAAGAAAATATGCAAATAGAAATGAAAGGTTTTGTTACTTTTTTTCCAAAATGATTCTAACATTCATTTTTTTGGACAGAAAAACCGTAAGAGCTAACAGACTTGTTTTTCATTTCAAAAGCATTATGATTCTGACTTAGTCTGTCACATGTAGAGCAAAGTAAGAATTGATACAGCAACAGGTACTGATGATAAACATAACCAAAATGAACATAAAAATATGAAGTGTGAAAATATAAATAGAAAATTATGTCCCTGATTGTACAGGGCAGGGCAAAAGTAGGTTTATAGTTATTTGTATGGAAAATAATGCAATAACTAATAAATAAAAATAAGGGAATCAACTCAGTTTCAGAGACTCAGAATTCTAAAACTACCACTGCCTCTCCCCCTCCATGTACATAAAAGTATAGCAACAGAGAAAATGGAAGATGACTTTGGATAATGGAAATACGTATGCCTCAGAGGGAAATATTGCTGTATTAGAAACAACTTTCTCAAACTACAGATTTTCTTGGAAACACTACAGTTCTATTTTTAATGCAGATTTAAGCAACAATATAACTTTAAAATATTCACTTTAGGTTATTATTTTAAAAAATAATAAATAGATTACAGTTAACTAGAATTTTTGGAGCTAAAATAAGCAAAATATTTTCACCTATATCAAGTTAGTGCTTATTACGAAACTGACTTTGCCCATACTGAAAGTATCTGGGAGATTTCACATAGAACCTTTTATAACTAGGTGAGAAAACAGCTTTATTATGTCAGGATTTTTTGAAAATAAAAATAAACCCATATAAAATACGTTATATTATTTCCTTGAAATAAAATAAATTTTATGCTCATAATTATCTTTAAAATCAATGGTAGTTTACTGTTCTGTTGTTTCTATATTACCATTAATGGCAGTTATTTTGATAAGAATATCAATATAAATCCTGAATGATTAGAAATAAATTCCCTTTCCATGTCTATAAGAGGAATTCCAGAGGAAAAAAATGAATATTTCATTTAGTTTCCAGTGTTTTAAATATTTAGACCTTGCTAATTTTTGTTTTAAAATGGGATTTCTATATTTAACGCTGCTGTGCTACTACAGAATAAATAAAGGCATGGTCTAAGTCAGTAACAACCTCATCTTGGTGCGACTTTAAATCTTCTGTTCTGGAGATCTCAGTTTTTCATGAATAAAATAAAAGGAAGACTGAATCATCTAAAGCCCTCTATCTCCCGTGTTTTAGGGTTCACATGAGTTTCTGCACCCCATGAATTCTCCAGGCTGTGGGTTTTGGTGGGTCTGAAAACCAGGCTCTCCAGCTCTGTGCCCTAAACCGTGATCCCTGCTGAGAGGTAGCGTATGCCTGGGTGAAGGCACCCCTCTGATTGGCCCCTAGGTGGTGTCCACTCATTAAGTTTATGTCCCACAAAGCTGTGTCTGCCTAAGGGAACATCTTTTTTCAGATTTGCATCAAGTCAGGCTGTAGACCTGAAAATATGAGACCAATCTTCACCATTGTCAAACCCGTGAACTCCACTTACCTCTGGTATGTCTTCGCTCAGTCCAAGTCTTGGTTTACCAGGACCCCATCCTGGTCCTTTAAATATGACAGAAAACTTATTGAAAAAGCCAGGAGTGGCCCAGAATGTAGTCCACATGTAAACTAAATGGTGGAACTAGAAGAATAGAAATATAGTTTATTTAAATAAAAACTTCTTAACATAAAAATTAAATATAATAAATCATGTATTTCATTTTATTGTTTAATGCACTTTACACATTTTATTTAATGTATAGGTCATGTATAATTTGATTAATGTTACTTAATATTCAACTGCATTACAAATTATAATTCATTCTATGCACTTAAATACTTTGAAATGTATTCTTCTCAATATTTCTGGAGCTGTACAAAACTATAATTTGGAAATTAAATAAAAGGTCAATTGTTTAAAAACTCAGCAAAGTAGAAAAGTGAGTTAAAAGGCTTTGCTTCCAATGGCATTAACGGGGAGACTGTGTACTTAATATCCATGTCTAATGATATCTTTTTATGTTTTATTATTTATTTATTTTTAATCCTCACCCAAGGATATGTTTCTTGATTTTAGATGAAAGAGAATGAGAGGGAGGGAGAGGAAGAGAAATACTGATATAAGAGAGAAACATCAACTGGTTGCCTCCTGTACCTGCCCCAGTTGGGGACTGAACCCACCACCCAGGTATGTGCCCTTATCGGGAATTGAACTGGGGACCTTTGGTGTATGGGATGACGCTCTAGCCAACTGAGCCATCTGATCAGGGCTAATGACATCTTCCCTAAAGTCTTGCTAAACGGACATTAGGTTGATTGTGGAAACATACAAATATTGCATATATGTCACTTATATGAAAAATAATCCTTTACTATATTTACTATATTGAGTTATAGACAAACATGTCATATTAAGGAAAAGTGTTGAGAGCTATTTCTGATAGTAGACTTCTGAGTATTAAATAGACTATATTCTGTAATAAGAAAATAAAAAAGTTTGCCGACTGCGTCAAAGGTTTGCCTTAAGGCTTATAACAGGAATTCACATTCTTTAAATGACACACATTTGACAGGTACTGAAGTTAAAAGTACATCCATACATGATAAGTACCCAATAACCATACATGATAAGTACCCAATAAATATAGTTATTAAGATAATTAGCTATAAATGCCACCCTTGTCATCATAATACATCATAAGATTAAAAATAATCCTAGAGACTGAAAATGAGCTACAGAATCTAGAAATGAGTTCTATCATAAGTGTAGTAATACACAGATGTAGAAAGAAGTTTTGGCTGCATCAGAATTTGTGGTCTTGCTGGCATTTCAACTGTCTCTTAAAGATTTCAAACTGCTAAAATTATAAAAATCATTTTTAAAATTGCTTAAAATATTATAAGGAATCTTAAGCAATTAAGGAACCATTTAGGATTTAGTGAACCAAATTTATGAAAAAGGAAGATTAGCTGGGAACTTACCCTGGAGTTTTGCAATAATATTACAGCAAGTTAAAGTGTTTAGAATTTATAACACATTTAATATACCTATCTATAGTGTTGTTTTGAGAACTGACTGCAATTTTAATGCTACTAGACATACCCATGAGAAATATAAGGGAACATTTTAAAACTAGGAGTACTTTCTCACCTATTTGCTATCCAATGCTCTGAAACTGCTGGGCTTCAAAGCAGAGCAAAGTGAATTGTTTATACCAAATACTAAGGAAAAGAATTCCTAAGTTGCTTTTTATCTTTTTGAGAGAAAGGTAAGAGATTTAGCTGAATATAAAAGAATATAAGTCAAAGTAACTATATGTTTTTGTAGGTTCTGTAATGCCTATCACAATTTGCTGATCTGACATTTCTGACAATGTGAGTGAGCATGTACTAACAGAAGACTAAAACTTAGACATAGTTGTGACAATTACTGCAGTAAAAAAAAAAATGTTTATGTCAGGGGTAGATGCCTGGAGATTTGAACCTGACACAAATTCATAAGCAGCTAATAAATACTTGTGGTTGTCTGAACATTGTCTCTTTTCAAATCTTAAACATCTATTTCTACAGCTCATGTACAGTTGTCAGTCTCTTACTCTGTCTCAACATGAGCTGCTTTTCCTCAGTAAGAGTGTACACTTTCTAAGCCTTCCTATTTAAAAGTTCAGAACGAACCAGCAGCGTAGACATTACCTGTGAGTTTGTAAGAAAGTCATGGACAGACCTCAGAACTACTGAACAGAACCCACACTTTAATAAAATCCTCCCATGATTCACATGCACATGAAGTTTGAAAGGCTGCGTCTTACAGGACAGAGACCATGTTGTCTATTTCCTTTTTAATCTCCACATGATGGAGACAGGACCACATCAATTGAAGAAGTAGCTCTCAATGCATTATTTCTAAATTGGTTTCAGTTCTGTAAAGTTTAATATTAAGAAAGAACTCAAATAAGTCTTTAGTGTTCTCCTGAGAGATATGTTCTTAATAATGCCTGAGAGAAAAAGTGAGAGAGAAGGCTGGGCGGGGAGACAGAGACCAGGAGACACATAGAGTAAATTGTTCTATAGTTAAGAACCAGAGAGAAATCATCAATTTTTCCTTTTGAAGTGTGAGATAAAAATGCCTTTCACTTGAAAAAGGAAGGCAATTTGCCATGGCCTTTTCTGTAAAGAGGCAGGAGAGTATAAATTGAGGTAAGTGAGTGGTGGCCTTGTCCTGGAACCCATCGTGACTAAGCTTGCTTTTGACAAATTGTGTGTATCTGGGTGAATTATTTAAATCTTGGGAACCTCAGTTTCATGCACCAAAAAATAAAAAGAACCACTACCTCAAAAGGTTTTAGTAATGGTTATGTTAAATATTTGTGCTGAGCTGTTAGCAATGCCCTTCACACAGTAAAATAAATATCAATTTATTTTATTTTAACTTTCTTAAAAATTTGAAGACGTACATTTGAAAGCAGACCTAACAGGAACCTGTAATTTTCTCCCTTACCGAATGCTATAAACCCAGTCTCCAGGGCAGAGCTGTTATTGACTGACCCCTTTAGTGTTTCAAGCATTCTTATCTTTTTCTCATTTACTAGTCTCGAACCCCAGGAGTATTTGAGGTGGTGTGCCGCTGACAGATCGGAGCTTCACAGACATTCCTAATTTCTCTAGTGCCAACCATGGAAACCAGCGAACAACCAATACCACATGTCTAACAGAAAACTGGCCCAGCGCAACAAGCCTTTGCAGGTGAGGTAGTGTGCAGACTTAACCAACCCGTAATAGCTCCTGACACATATGCCCACGAAGAGTGGGGCAAAGGCCTCGTGCTGAATTTCTAACCAGAGTCATGCAGACATGTAGCAAATATTTTTCTTACTGTGGTATTAGCCTTAATTACACATGTTACTGCTGCTCTTTCTGAATGCATGAATATAGTTCAGGTCTATGCTGGGAAAGATCATGTTTGCTAAAGAGTCATTTTTTAATTCTAGGTAGTAGAAATATTTAAACATTTTTATGAATTGTTTTCTAATGTATTTTGCCTAATTTGATTCAAGTCTTTGTGTAAGTACCAGAGTTATTTATAAATTCTTTTACAGTTAAATTTTTTTTCCAGGATATTGTAATGCATTACCACCTTTTAAAACTGTTTTTCTTTTAAATATGAGTTTATAACAGACCATGGTCAATTCATAAAGAAAAAAACTAAGTACATTACCTGCACCTTGAATGGATCAAATGTATTAATGGGATGTGTCAAACCATATACAACCTTTTTATTTTCTGCCTCGAATGTTCCTGGAAGACAAACATTCAGGATATGATCTTTTGCCGTTTTCAGAATTAGGAGCTAATTAATTTATAAAAATTCTGGTACTTTTTACTTACCAAAAAATCTATCCCATATAATAAGTATGCCAGCATAATTTTTGTCTATGCAATAACGGTTTCTGCCTATGAGAAAAATATTAAAAATTTTTTAAATGTTCAAGTTATGCTTCTTAGGACAACTCTTTGTGTATTTTATTTTATCTTCTAATTTTTTGACTTAGTCTTTATTGTATTTTTTATCACCATTCAGTTCCCTCACGCCCCCTCCCCCTAGCAATCTCCACACTTGTCCATGTCCGCCACGCGTCCTTTTTCCTTTTTGCTCAGTCTCTCTCCTTGTATTTTAGAACACATTAAAAAAAGGAAGACTTATGTAACAGATTGGCTTTCCCAGGAATGTTTTTTCAATGAAAATACTAGCTGTGATCTGCTAATAAAATGAGTTTTTCTTTTATTTCTCAATTAGTTTTACTAAAAAGAGCAAAGATTTCCTTAAAACTATGAAGAATTATCCTAGACTTAAAAATGTGCCAATAATTTTCCAGTTTTTAAAAATCTTGGATAATTCTCAACAGTTCTATTTTTAACACTATCAAAAATAATGATTAAAAATTAAATGGCCCAGAAAAAAAGGCACCAGTAAATAATATAGATAATATATGTAATTTGTATTTGTTTCCTTGTTTTAAATTTTTAAGTGCATTTCATCCTGCATCTTTCCCAGGAAGAAAATTTTCTCCTTACTGTGAGACAGTACTATATTTTTAAATCATAAAATCCATAAATGAAATTCAAATTACCCTCAATTTTTTAAAATTAATTAATTTATTTTTTCAAATACATTTGTCTCTGCCTTCCCCCCACCACTCTCAATTTTTAAATTTAATCATAATATATATATTTTTTCTGTTCCAAAGTATTCAAATTATAATTTAACTAGCTGAGCATACTTTCTTTAATAATAATAAAAGCCAAATGTAGCCAATGATTGTAAATAAGGAAAAGAATATCAAACCACCGAACCACTACTCCAACAAACTCCCTGTCGTCATATGTCCTCATTTCTTTACATACCTTCCCTACATGCAAATGGACATTTGAAAGTGAAGGTAGCAGGGAAAATCTCCCCAAGTGCAAAAGTAGAGTAGAGCTGGGCACACAGATGCACACCCCATGGCCATACACCACGTAAACAGTGTTTCTCAGGTGGACGGGGGGCACTTTGTCCCTCAGGGGCTATGTGGTGATGTCTGAAGACATTGTTGATAAGTAATATCCCCATTGCAAGGCGATATTACTGGTATCTGGTATGTAGAGTCCAACATGCTATAATACACAGGATAGCTCCCTTGTCCCCAAAGAACTGTCTCATCTTTTTAAAATTAATATTAAAATGGTAATAGTGCTGAAACTGATATAAAGCAACAGGTGTGGGAAGATGCTCTAAAGTTAAACAGGAAACTCGCAACAATTTCTCCTTCAATGTGGACTTGTTCTTCTCCACTCCTTGTGTTTCCTTTTATATGAGGGAACCCCAAGAGTATAACATCCTTGGCCTCTCCACTCCCTCACGGATGACTCCCTTGTGGTAGGGGAATGGCTGTTGAAATTGGAAGAGGAAGCTGAACATGTGCAGCCCGACCTCGTCCTCTCCTCTTCCCAGGAGAGCTTGGGCTTCTGCTCTGCTCGCTGCCATGGGAAAGGGACCTGTGCCCGTGGGGAGGAAGACCTGCAGTGCTGTCTGATTTCTGGAAACTTATAAAAACAGAACAATAATATTCTTTTATTACCAGCTTCCTTCTCTCAACAATATGTTTGTGAGATTTATTCATGCCATTGTGTATCGTAATAGTTTGAGGGTTGCCATTGGGCCGTAGTTCTCTGTTACATGAATAGTCTACAGTTTATTCTACTGCTTATAAACATATAAATTAGGTCTTTCTCTCTTTTTTTTTCCTGTTACAAGTAATGCTGATATGCACATTCTTGTCTAGGTCTTTTGGTGCACAAATGTAAAAATTTCTAGTATTTCTTAAGCCAGTATCTTTAAACTTTATGTACTAGCCACATGGGATTTTCTCTTTGTCAGACAAATACAGTGCATGTAGGGTTTGTTCCCACATTTTAAGAAAGGAAGTAAAGTGTTGTTTATTAGGCTTTCCTCAAATCCCCACAGTTTTCAAACCAGACACTCTCTGGCTCTAGACGGAGATGACCTCAGTGTTGGGTCAAGGAGTGGCCTTCAAGATGTAAAGTGAATATCCACTCAGCTCTTTAACTCACTTTTTTTCCCACTACAACTGAGGAGATTTAGGCAAAAAAGAGAAATCCAAAGCCAAATATGAAAAAGTTGGTGGTGGTGGGTTGTTTTTTTGTTTCTTTGTTTTTTAATTTTTGTCTTCAGTCCTTGCTTTAGAGATGAGGCTTGTCCAGATTCAAAGGAAGAAGTGATGCCTATTTGCACAGTGTGTGCTAACTCTGTTATTGTGACAAAATGGTGCAAAATAATAATTTTTTAAATAAATGAAAATGGGAAGAAAGAAGAGATCAGATTTCCTTACCATGATGAACTCTATGATGGCTAGGAGTATTAAGAATCAGTTCCAAAGGACCAAGGTTATCAATGACCTGTTTGAAAGAAAAGGAATACTTATTATACACACAGTTATTGTTAAATGTATGTGTCATACATAAGTACTCAAATTAAAACCCCACATGGGTTAGGATATGTTGCAAGTTTCAGGCATCTGAATCAGAAAATACTTTCTATAGTCTGTTGCTCACATAAAGACAAAAATGAGCTCACAACTGTATTCTGAGAGTCTACTGTGGCTAAGAGCTAGAATGCCTCAATTTGTTTCCTGGATCCTCTATTTATTACTCTGATCTTTAAAAAATAACTTAAAATTTTGATAACTCTATTTTGTCATCTTTAAAATGGAAGTAATAGCAATATCTACATAATAATATTCTGATATTTTCAAATGGTACTATTGCCCAGGCATACTTTTTTCATTTTATTTGTCACCTTTCAACTGTGTCTTTGATGATTTATGTTAGCAGAGCATGAATAGGGAAGAGAAAATTGTATTAATTTACTGAGTTTGGTTTTACCCAATAGTCAACCATGTAGCAACAACTTAATATCGTAGCTGTTATCTATTGCATTAGGGTCATCCCACTAACTGAAATAGAATCCTAGCTGATCTTTTACCTGTCAGGGGTGCCCAACCTGCAGCCCACATGTGGCCCAGGACAGCTATGAATGTGTCCCAACACAAAACTGTAAATTTACTTAAAAGCTTTTTTTTGCTCATCAGTTTTTATTAGTGTTTTTGTATGTAATGTGTGGTCCAAGACAACATTTCTTCTTCCATTGTGCACCAGAGACATCAAAAGTTTGGACACTCCTGCATGGATACATCATCTATCAGTATATCCTAGAGGCACACATCAAAGTCAAATATATAAAGAGGGCCCCCGTTTTTTTACAATTAAAGATCCTTCAGAATTTGGTACATAACACTATAATGTTCTCTTACAACATTTCTCAGCACGGTCTGCAAATTCTAAGGAGTAGAGTAATCAGGTAGGTATCATAAACAAGAATAGCAGGCCACGTGTAAGAGAGTTGGTATGTTATATAATTAATATTGGGAAATATGGGAATCTTTTTAACCTCAATTGCATTGTTCTTTTTTCCATTGACCATAGCAGATAACAGAATATTTTGCTTTTTTAATTCACTATCAAAATGGATTTATTAGAGTATACCAAAGACAAAAAATCAATATATTGTTATGATATTTCAAGAAATGACTCACCTCTACTTTCATTCAGAGGACATATGAGTGAGAAAGAAATAATTTAAATGATCCTTAAGGAAATAAACCCAGCCACTGACAATCATGGCACTGACATAAATTTAGTAGCAAGTCAGTGATATGAGGAAAGAAATCAGATGGAAAGGTATTTCAGATACATAACAACCAATGTAGTTGTTTTGTAGTTGGGAATCTTGTTTGAATACTGATTTGAACAAACTAAACATAAGAGATATTTTTATAGGCAATGTAGGATATTGGTTAATAAACAGAGTATTACATGATAAAAGTACTGTTTTATTGGGAGTTATAATGCATTGTCATTGTGTAGAGAATGTAAATGTGTTAGAGTTGTATAACTTAAGTATAGATGGCATGGGATCTAGGTTTTGCTAAAAAATATTTGGCAATAAAAATAAAAATTAAAAAAAGGATAGCTGATGCAAATTAGTCAAAACAATAATGAACTTTTTAGTTTAAAACAGATAATTTATTTTAGCAGTCCCCAATATCAGTCTTTACATTAATTTTTCACACCACTTCTCACAGACAACAGTCCTTTCAAATGACTAAGAATTCAATTTTAATGCAATTTCTTTCTAGTCTGTTTTTTTATTGTTCACTTAGAGATGTCCCCATTTTTCCCCTGCCCTATGCGTTCCCCACCTTCTACATTCGATACTCCCCCCTGTTGTCCTTGTCCATAGGTTCTTTATACATGTCCCTTGACTTGACCCTTCCCCTTCTCTACCCTTTAATGGAAGTGATGGAGATATATAAATTCATTCTATTATGAATTCTACTGTTCTGAATAATTTGAGGATTTTTAAGATAAAATTTAAAGTGAAAGATATTGTTACTCTAATAATATAAGAATAATATAAGTGCTCAGTTGAAAGTATTAGTGGATCCCTAAAGTCCCAAACATACTTCTAGGTTACAACTCTTTATATAGCATGGTTTAATCATTGTTTGACAATCTTTGACATCAAAACACCCAAAATGCTAGTGCTTTGAAAATGTGAAGAGCCACAGTAGCTACACCATTTTCAGCTTGTGAGGCCTGCATCCTATTCAAAGGAGAAGCTAAGGCCATGTGGCCACATAACAATGCTGTACTCCTCCATGGGACAGGTGCGGCCATCTCCTTTTTAGACTCACTGTGAACCCATCTATGGGATTCTCAGTTTCCACTCTGGAACAGACAGAAATGTTTGCATGCAAAGGATGTGTAATAGTATGCTCTATATGTGAATTTAGGCCCCCTTCTCTCTCTTCTAAAATGGAATTCTCTCACTATTTTTTAAGTTATTTCCACAAGAAATGCATTATCAGATGCAAACAATAGACTTTTTGATTAATTCATAGAAGAGAACTCATATACAAAGGACTATCTGTATTTTTGAATTTCAGGAGTTCCAACTACTGTGACTAGATAGGCCTTATGTCAGATGGCATTCTTATGAAATAGGGTATTATGTCACAAATAGAGTATTAATGAGCAGGAATTGGAAGGGGAGTAGGGAGAAACAACCCTGAATTTTATTGCACTACATTGTTTTGGACTTGGTGGAAAAATATTGGTTGAGAGGAAGAGTGGTAATGGATAAAGAACATTGATTTGGAACATTGAAATCTGATGCTTTGGCTGGGCTCTGTCTCTGGCAGAGAATTAGGTGGGAAAGAAGAACACCATTTTACCCTTGTTTGTCTCTTTGGTGCCTAACATATGTTACAAAAACAGACAACAAAAGGGGATGGAGGAGTCTACATAGCCAGCTTCTGGGACCCAGATGCATTTCTGATCCTTGGTCCTGGTCAGTGTGGGCAGCCAGATTTCAAGCCACACAAATGGTGAGTGCGTTCAGCTGACTGGAGACTTGGCTGAGAGCATTATTATTATTATTTTTTAATGGAAGGCTCTTTTCCTCAAAGAAAATCTTTTGCTCTTGCAAATCAAAGCATGGTGATATCAATATTGAAAGTTCCCTTTTTAAAAAAAAGTTAAAAGCCAAGTACAACACAGGCAACCACAGTTATATTTCCCAATAGCGCCTCTGAGTACCTTGGAGCTGGGAAAGACCACCTGGCTGTGGGGGATGATTCATCATTCAGACAGCTCAATCAGATGTTCCTCGGTTGAAAACCCCTCCGATCCAAAGTCAAAGAGAAGTCATTAATAATTAATAAGGGTGAACATAACAACTCAATTATTGCCCACTTTTGCAAATTTAGTCATTTAGCAATTCAACCACAGCTAGCTTTGAGTCACTTCAGGAAAATACTGTGGAAATAATTGCAACTATTTTCATTTTCAGAAGTTATTTGTTTTGTTTTTTAGATTTAAATGATTTAATTTAAATTATGGAATTTTAGAACACACAGAGGAATTAAAAATAATATAGTCCAATACTCTATTATTTAAAGAAAATTAAAATGAAATTCAGATAAATTACTAGTGCAAGTTCAAACAGTTTGGGAGGAATCCCTAGAGTCTTTTCAGTTTTAGCTTAGGAATCTTTCTATTTTTCTATCATCTTGTTTTTAAGAGATATAGCAATTTTTCTATCAAATAAAAGTAATTTAATCTTTTAAAACTTTAATGGAAATGATAACTAAGTGCTTTTTGACTACATTTCCATTAAAATGAATCCAGGGACTTATAGAGTGCAGGGATTCCAACTTCTATACACCGCTCCTCATGGTATTTCAGGTGATTTTGGTGCCTCTTAGGTTTTCAAAGCATGGTGTTCTGTAGTTTTCTCTCAGGGGTTTATAACCTCAGAGCCATGGATGCCTAGGATGGCCATGGATGGGCTTCATAAGGTCATGGACACCCTGAAGTGTCATGCTGAGTTTGATGAATATAGTCTAGGAGTGTTTTTTCTAGGAGGAATATTACCCTTTTCATCATATACCAGTCTAAGGGATACATAAACCCACAAGGTTAAGAACAGAGAACTTTAGATTATTTTATTTGTTCTTCTTCTTATGTTTCTAATTTCCATATTATTAAAACTGAAAAGAAAAAGAAACCAACAGAGACAAGAGGGAAGGAGGGTGGGTGGGCAGGGGAAAAGGAAGGGAAGGGGCAAGTCAAAGAACATATAGCAAGGACTCATGGACAAAGCCAAAGTGGGGAAAGATTGAGGGAGGGAGATGGGGGTGGGGGGAGGGGAACGTGATGGGGAGAAGGCGGAGACAAATGTATTTGAAAAAATAAATTAATTAATGGAAGCAAAAAAACACCCCCCCAAAATACCTTAGTGCTACTTTCTCACTCAGACTTCAAAACCAGCAACATTTTTTTCTGTCTTTTTTTAAAATCAGTTTTTCAAAAGATCACTTCTTAGGCTGTTTTTACTTGTATAATAATGATTATAAATAAAAAATAAAAATAGTTTTATAATAATAAGCTCCATGAATTCTATTGATTAAATTGTATCCAGCAGGAAAGCTCTAAATTATTTGCTGTGTGGTCTCAAACTCCTCACTTCTCCCTCCACAATTTAGGGTGAGGGTCGGAAGATGAGCAAAATCTAAAAGCGAGAGAACAGGGGCTCTGAGACTGTGCCATCTTCTCATCAAGTCATTTTCCCTCATCAAAAACAAAACAACTCAAACAAAACTCTCTTCACAATGAACTAAAGTCCAACACATTTGGCATTCAAAGCTGTTCACTCATCCTCAGGGCTGATTTCCAATATTCTCCTTCTTCTGCCGCTAAGAACTTAACCTTCTCATCCTGACCTGTGGGAATCCTGCTCTTCCTTCGAGACTTACCTAAATTTTCCAAACACTCTT